GCTCGAATTTCCCGCGAAAACCTACCCGTACCACTCAAATTAGAAAACATTATTATAAGCTAATCGTTGTGAATTGGGCTAAAGTAAGGAGATAGTTTTGAACACTGGCTGGTTATGTTCTTGCTCAAATATTGATTTCGGATCATTTTTAACCAAAAAAAGTTACGGACTGCAGCTTTAAGTATATATATATATATACATATATATATATATTAATATTTTTCATGCATGCACATATTTGGTTATTTATTCATTCAATTTTCTATTTATAAATATAGATATATTGGATATAAATATATCTATTTGCTAGAGGCAGCCCTTCTTTTTTCCCACTTTTTATTTAATGGACATGTTCACCAAAGCTGTTATTTGAACACTGTCAGATCACGTTCACACTCTGACTCTCTCTTCACAGCAGGTCTAAAGTAACCTAAAGTGTTGAAGGAAGGTGTGAATTACAGTTGACTGTGTATGTGCTGAGGGTAAAGACAATTCACGTTTCCATAAACACTTTCCATTATGTCTGAAAGAATTACAGACATCTGAAAATGTGCTGAAGGCTGTGATTAATCCATGTGGTCTGAGGGATCAGTTTCATGTCCATATAAATGATATCACAGTGACAGATAGTCCTTCTGCTGCTGCTGCTCAGGCCCCAGGGCTTGGGAAATGTGAACATCATTTCATGAAGTTAATGAGGTGACCCTTTGCCTGGATGGGGGCATTTTTTTGTTATTTATTATTGTTTTGGAAAAATAAGGTAGCTGCATTTACAGCCGAGATTCTGGAATGGTTTGGCACCAGGCTGAAGATTTTACATACAACAGTCAAGTGGTGACTCAACAGAGCACCAGAGCTGTTCATAATAATTTGTAAATAAAATAAAATAAAATGAAAATAAAAATAAAATAAATTAATTAAAAATAAAATAATTTAAATGCATCTTTAAATACAAAATAAAAAGTACAATTAAATAAAATATTATTTAATTGTATTATAAATTATAACAACAACAACAACAACAACAATACTTTGATATTTAAATGAAATGAAATGAAAATTACAAAATAATTAGAATATGTAATAATAAATAATAATAAATGTAACATTAACAGAAATGAAAATAAAATGAATAGTTAAAATATTAAATTATAATAACAATAATATACATTAATATAAAAATGAAAAATCATACAAATAATAATGTAACAAAAATAATTTAAAAGATAAATAATAATTACAATTTATCATTAAATTAATAATAAAATAATACACAAACACTTAAAATAATAATAAAAAAATATCAAAAATTATATCTGGTGTCTGAATAATTTTTGGTTTGACTGAATATAGCTACATATGTTTGTAAAAAATACAAAACACACACAATTTTTTTTAGTCAGATTGAGGCATTTTTTCCCACAATACTTTAGCATTAAATGAATATTCTTAGATAATCTTAACTGAACATGAGGGTAAATAAATAAGTAAGTTTTTTTCATATCCTGACCCTCTATATACCCTACTATAGAAAATATAATGTTTTCTGTAAATAATACAACACACACAAATATGGGGGTGTGGTATTTATTCAACACTACTTTGGCATTCATTTATTTTCTTAGCTAATCTTAAAGGAATAGTTCACCCAAAAATGAAAAGTTGCTGAGAATGTACTCACCCTCAGGCCATCCAAGATGTAGATGAGTTTGTTTCTTCATCTGAACAGATTTGGAAAAATGTAGCATTACATCACTTTCTCACTAATGGATCCACTGCAGTGAATGGGTGCCGTCAGAATGAGAGTCCAAACAGATGATAAAAACATCACAATATTCCACATGGCCCCTGCGAAAGGATGACACGCAAATCTGTGAAGCGCTCCATCTTTTAGGGGAAGTCGTGGCCTAATGGTTAGAGAGTCGGACTCGTAACACAAGGTTGCGGGTTCGAGTCTTGAACCGGCAGGGATTGTAGGTGGGGAGAGTGTGTGTGCACTTTGGAAATGCAAAATGCAGAGCACTAATTCCGAGTATGGGTCACCATACTTGGCCACATGTCATGTCACTTTTCACTTTTCAAGAAATCAACACCATTCCAGTCCATCAATTAATGTCTTGTGAAGTGGAAAGCTGCTTGTTTTTTTTTCTGGTACAATCCAACATTTAACAATGTGGCCACTTATTTGAGGACAATAAATCCACCTGAAGCAGCTTCTCACATCTTCAGAATTATAAACCCCAAATCAAAGTCATAATTGACATTATGACCAGGTCTCATGGTTTATTCATCAGTATCAAGTTAATGAAGCTGAAATTTCAGAGAACATCACAGGAGGAGTTGAAAGTGTCAGAGGTCAGTGTTGCTGAAAGGACACAGATGTCTGTCCAGATGTCTCTGATGCTCTTCATATGAACATGAGAGGTAATGTACAGTCAGCAGATCAGACGCTCCTGCAATCTG